GAACATTAAGAATCCTTGATATTTATATATGATGTGTCAATGACGAGTTGTGATTTTGTGAATATTTCATATTTAAAATTTATAAAATTTTAGTTATTAATATAACAGGTAGGTACATAAGTAAATTTTTATTAAATAATTAAAAAAAACAATCCATAATTCAATCGAACCCGACCTGAAAATAGAGGGTTGAATTAGGTCCTGAATTTTATTGGGTTTGGGCTCGAGACACGGGGTAGAAATATCTTAAATAATAAAAACATAGTACATTTCACATTTCCTATGATGTACTTCTTTATCTATCTTGTTTTTTTTTTTTTTTTTTTAATAAATAAATAAAACTTTGATTTGAAAATTAATATATTGGGACAAATTAGAAAGGCATGTGGTGGAAGTGTTTTGTTGCCATCAATGTGCCCTAACTCCCAAGCACCACACATGTTTCCATCTTCAAAATCTTTTCTATTTTATCTCTAATTTATTATTTTAAAAAAATCCTTTTTTTTTTCTTTTGCTTTTCAATGAATATTCTTATATAAAACCTTACCTTTATTTTCCTCTCTTTTTATTTTGGCATAGAAAATGCCAACCAAAATTTTCTTCGTGTTACCGGAAACAGTACCTTGTTCTAGTCGAGATCCTATAAGTTCAAATTTAGACCAGAAAATTCACGTGTTTAAGTTGAAGTGAACTGAAGATTTGTCTCGGTTGAAAAATGAATTCAAATTTTAAACAATCAATCAAATCACGAGCTATCTATGTTAACGATGAGTTAATTTCGTAGTAAATGAAAAAAAAAACTCTTTATTTTATTAAACCAATTTTATGTAATGGAAAAATAAGAATAAAGAGTTAGAAAGTTAAAACTATTTTTTTTTTAATTTAAAAATAGGAGGGAAAAAGGTTGATAAAAACTGTCTTATATAACTATTTTTAAAAATGCCATTTTTCTTTAATTTTACAAATTATTATTATTATTATTTTCAAATTATAACTCCAACAAACTTAGATCCAATTAATTTAATTTTGGATATTATCTTCTAATTTAACTTTTTTTATTCCCATAAAATTGCTACAAGCCATAATTTTGGAAATTTATACCAAAAGTGACCCATATACCCTTAAACTCTTTCTTTGTGTAGGGGCAATAATGTCTTTTTACTGAATAGTTTTTTTTTTTTGAAAATTTAATTAGTTTTTAAAGTATTATATATTTTAATCAAAATAACGACTATTTTAGTCAGTAAGAGGAGAAATCCTTTAATATAAAGTTATAGTTATATTTTAGTAATTTAATGAGTATAGTGTTTTCGAGTCAAATTTGTGATTAAAAAATAAATAAAAAAACACTCCAGACAATCGTCTCGCAATGTTCACCCTCACTGTATCTACACATATATATCACAGGGTAGCTTATTTAAGCTACAGGGTTTAGGGGTGGTGGATAGCTGACACTGTACCTCTCTTAATATGCAGCCAAAAGTCGTCTAAAGGGAAAAAATTGACAAAAGCTAAAAAATGGAGGACTAAATCGCAAAAAACACAAATAATATATAAACATTTTTTTCCTTTAAATATTCTTCAAAATCTTTTCTTTTTTCTTTTTAAAAAAGTGGGAATTGTACGAAATGAGGATTACTCGAGTGTACCCTAAACCTGCATCCAAACAAGTGTTGAGAATTTGTTGGCTCTCAGGGAACATTAAAAAGAAATTTAAATTATTTGTAGGGCTTTTTTTTTTTTTTTTTTTTTTTTTTTTTTTTTTTTTTTTTTTTTTTTT